GCGCTAGCCCGGGCAGGGCCCCCGGGAGGGGCCTGGGGAAGGGGGAGAGGTCGGGGGGCTTGTGCAGAGCTCCCCATGCAGCGTGGGGCAGTGGGGGCAGAGGCAGCACCCAGTCAGTAGGGGCTTTTTTTTTCAAAGAGCTGGGGCAGGTGGGGGCAGCCATTGCCGGGCTGGGTGAGCGGGCGGGGGAGGGTCTGGCCTGGCTGATTCAGAGATTCGGCAGCAGCCAAATCTCTGAATCAGATTCGGCTGAATCAATTTGGGACAGTGATTCGAATAATCGAATTGAATCACCGTCCCCTGAATTGGCCGAATCCGAATCTGAAGTGAATACCAACCGCTTCACACAGGCATACTACTTTTGTCCCTGGTTTAGGGGCAAAATTGTGTTGCTCCCAGTCAGCCTAGGCAGCAGGGGGCTACAGGAGGCAGGGAGAGCTGTCCTGGCTCGGTAGGATGCTGCCTCCCTGCCCCATGGAGATCAGGATGGGTCCCAATCTGTGTGGGGTTGGCAAGCAAATGCCCACTGAGCCAAAACAGCCCCCCCGCCCTGCACAGTTTGGGCTTCCTTCAGAGCCGGAACAGCTAGGGGAGCTGCGCCTGGCTGCTGCTGGGGGGCAGAGCAGGACAGGAGCAGCCCTGGACTGGGCTGCTCCTGTCAGGCATAATTTGTTCCCAACATGGGCGCATGTGTAGACATATGCCCAGGAACACATTAATGAGCCTGAATGCATATAGAAGCATCCACTAAGAACAAATATAAAGTCCCTGTAAGAGCGAATATATGCTGTGCATACCTTTGCATTCACATGCACAGATATGGTTACCCTGCAGCTTGTGCTAGAAACATAGGGGACCAAAATGACACACCTTTCTGTTACCTTGCAGTAGTTACTTCAGTTGTTCTTTGTAGCATTGGAGTGATGTTGTAGCCATGGTGGTCCAGGAATTGTGTAAGAAGCAAGGCTTTTTGGGGGTGGTATCTTTTATTGAACCAACTTGCTTTAACTAAGATATGGACTGAATCTATACTGTGAGGCATAAGCCAAAATGACTACCACAGATAAGAAAGCATTTGGGGAAGAAGAGATTATGGGCAGGTTTCACTGGCCTTTAGAGACCCCAGAAGTACAAGCAGGACTGCAGCCCGCACTGATTCAGGTGCCAAGATCAGTGTATTGGAAAGTCTGTTCTGGCTCCTGCAGTGTCCAAAACCTTCACCATGCTGGGTGACTGTGATTTCTGGGAGCAGTGAGTCTGTGTAGTTGTGTTGGCTTTGGAGTTAGTGCCACTGTGCAGTGTTCGGCTTTCTAGACCATGATCCGTACTTCCAGGATAGGGCCTCACTGGGACATGACGGTCTAGATCTCTCTCCAAAAGGTAAGAGTCTGTTCTCTTACAGGTTGATAGACCTCCTACGTAGAACTTTAAACTAGCTTCATCGGGCGACGGAAATGTCAAAGACAGGGTGAAACCAGGAAAGACAAGACATGAACTGTACGCTGGAATAGACCAGGTAAGTACTAAGGGGCCCGCTAAGCATCAGGATAGGGGAGTATTAAGGGCACCTAACATAGGGCTTAGGTGTCTCTATACTAATGCTAGAAGCATGGGAAATGAGCAGGAGGAACTTGCACTCCTGCTTTCAGACAAAGATTTTGACCTGGTTGGGCTAACAAAAACCTGGTAGGACCCTACCAATGATTGGGCAGTGGTCATTGAGGGCTATAAGCTATACAGGCAGGATAGATTGGGAAAAAGCGGGGGAGGGGGGGAGACATTGCTTAATACATTAAGGAACATTATACATCTGTAATAAAAATGGGGACAGAAGAAGGGCAGATCAAAGTCCTATGGGTCAGATTACAAAGGGGTAGGGGTGAAAGGGACTTGGTAGTGGGGGTCTACTACAGACCCCCACAGCAGGAGGAGGAGATGGACCTAGAATTCTTGAGACAGCTCTCAAAGGCATGGCGCTCAAAGGATCTAGTTGTCACGGGTGACCTTAATTACCCAGACATCTGCTGAGAGGAGCAGTCGGCCAGGTCTGCCCGTTCATATAGGTTCCTAACCTGCATACAGGACCTGCACCTAACACAGGAGGTGTGCATTCCTACTAGGGGAAATGCCTTACTCAACTTGGTGCTGACCACAGGGGAGGATCTGGTGGGGGATCTGCAGGTACAAGGTAACCTAGGAGATAGTGACCACCTGTTGATAGGATTCACTATCCGGCGAAAGGTGGGAAATATAACTAGTAGAGCCTAAGTGCTAGACTTCTGGAATGCCAACTTCAATGAGCTCAGGAGATTAGTAAGAGTGGGACTGAGGGTTAATAACATCAATCAGTTGGGAGTCCAGGAGGGGTGAGAGTTCCTCAAGGAACTGACCCTGCAGGCACACAGGGATACTATCCCAGTACACATAAAAGGAGGCAAAAGAGCCAATAAACCCTCTTGGCTGAGCAGGGGAATCCAGGAGAACCTACAGGGGAAAAGAGCAGCCTACAGGCTGTGGAAGCAAGGGGCAGCCACCAAGGAAGAGTATACCTGCTTGGCTCGGGTTTGCTGGGAAACGGTGAGGAAGGCCAAAGCAGAAATGGAACTCAGGCTTGCAACAAAGACTAAGGGTAACAAAAAGTCCTTCTTTAAGTATATAGGGAGCAAGAAGAAGGCACAGGGTAACTTAGGACTGCTACAGGATGGACTAGGGCAACTCGTAACAGATAGGATGGACAAAGCTGAGCTCTTAAACAATTTCTTAGCATCTGTGTTCCTGGACACAGATACAATCACACTGCCCAACGAGCCTTTAGTTTGGCTTGAGAGTGATACTAATCCAGCAGCAGTTAGCGCTGACCTAGTAAAGGGGCACCTAGGGGGTTGAACGTTTTTAAGTCAGCAGGCCCCAATGATCTTCACCCAAGAGTACTAAAGGATTTGGCTGGTGTCATAGCGGAACCACTGGCACAAGTGTTTGAGCGCTTGTGGCGCTCAGGACAGATCCCAGAAGACTGTAAAAGGGCCAATGTGGTCTCTATTTTCAAGAAGGGAAGGAAGGACCTAGGCAATTATAGGGGAAGAAGGACCCAGGCAATTATAGGGTGGTTAGCTTCACCTCTATACTTGGCAAGACCTTAGAAAAAATCATTAAGATCACATTTGTGAGGAGCCAGAGGGTAATACAATGATAAGGGGCAACCAGCATGGTTTATAGCAGGCAAATCCTGCCTGACTAACCTGGTCTCTTTTTTATGACCGGGTCACAAAGTGCTTAGATGCAAGAGTAGAGGTAGATGTTATTTACTTGGATTTTACAAAGGCTTTCGACACAGTGTTGTACACAGTTCTTCCGAATAAACTAAGTAGCTGTGACATGGATTTTTTCACGGTCAGCTGGGTGGAAAACTGGCTTATGGGATGCACCCAGAGAGTGGTAGGGGATGGGTTGGTTCCTCCCTGGAGAGATGTGGGAAGTGCTGCCCCCAAGCCTCTGTCCTGGTACCGGTACTGTTTAATATCTTCATCAGTGATTTGGAAGAGGGTGTAGAAAGAACTCTGTCCAAATTTGCAGACAACACCAAACTATGGGGTATAGTAAACACACTAGAGGGTAGGGAGCGAATTCAGGTGGATTTAGATAGACTGGGGAAGTGGGCGGATCAGAATAGGATGCAATTTAACAAAGATAAATGCAAAGTGCTGCACCTGAGGAGAGAGAATCACCAATACACCTATAGACTGGGAAGTACCATTCTAAGTAGCACAGTGGCAGAAAGGGATCTTGGAGTCATAGTCGACACAAAAATGAACATGAGTTGCCAATGTGATGACGTAACAAGTAAGGCTAACTGCACTCTTTCTTGCATTAGTAGGTGCATCACGAGCAGGTCTAGGTAGGTTATACTTCCCTTCTACGAGGCATTGGTGAGGCTGCAGCTGGAGTACTGCGTCCAGTTTTGGGCACTGCACTTCAAGAGGGATGCAGAAAACCTGGAAAGGGTTCAGAGGAGGGCTACTCGTATGGTTGAGGGCCTGCAGGTAAGATCCTATGAACACAGATTGAGGGACCTGAATCTCTTCAGCCTCCGCAAGAGAAGGCTGAGAGGTGATCTCATGGCTGTCTACAAACTCATTGCAGGGGTCAGCAGGGAATAGGGAATATTCTGTTTACCAGGGCGCCCCTCAGGGTTACTAGAAACAATGACCATAAATTGAAGGAGAGTAGATTTAGATTGGACATCAGAAAGAAATTATTTACAGTGTGGGTTGCTAAAATATGGGATGGGCTTCCAAGGGAGGTGGTGCTTTCCCCTATCTTGGAGGTGTTCAAAAGAAGATTAGACAAGCACCTGGCTGGGGTTACTTGACCCCAGCGCTCTTTTCTGCCCAGAGCAGGGTGTCGGACTTGATCTAATAGGTCCCTTCCGACCCTAGAAATCTATGAAATCTATGAGTCTCAGGAGGTCTGGGGACTCCTTCAACAACCCACAAGGCAGTTCCTTCTCCTGCAGTGGGCTGGGCTCTACTGTGCTAATAGGATTAAGTAAAGTAGAGACAATGCTGTTTCTGGTGCCTGTGCCCAGTGAGTGGGCCCAAGCCTACCTCACCCACCCCAGGACTGCCCAGAGAAATCCTTTAGAGCCACCCTCTCTGGGCTAAAGGTTGCAGCTCCAGCAAAGTTAATGTATACCAGCTGAGATCAGGCTATATGTGTCAAACACCATTGGCTTTCCATGCTAGTTTATACCAGCTAGAGATCCAGCCTGATGACTAGAACAGAGCAAGCATGAATTTGGTCCATAGTTTTCAATACACCTGTGGCCATTTTGCATCCCCTGAGGGTTTGGCTCATTGTTTTAGTGAAAATAACAAGATGGCAGAAAAACATTTCTCTTCATTCTGCTATTGGCTTCTGCATGCTTGCCAGTAGCTTTTCAGTTTACAGAGAACGACATAAATGTGTATGGAATCACAGTTATTTGCAAAACATTACAAAAGATTTACAAAATCTTTTGCCTGAGTGTGCAGAAGCCTCCCAGTTCCTTCCCCCAAATTTGGCATCCTGTAGCTCCACAATCTGATCATTCTCCAGCCTCACATCATTAATGGTGCATCCTTGTATAAAGTGCTGGGACTGGGAACTGGCAACAACCTCTGTAAGAGGGTGCAATCACCCTTATTAACAATGGGAGGAAGAGACTGGCTAAGACCGAGGAAGAATTTTTTGCTTTGCCAATCAAAGGACCCCAGGCTGCAGGAAGGGCTGTGTTCAGTCTGAGTCTGGGAACTTAGATTTTTTACTTCCTGAAGGCTTCAACTTACTTCCAAAAGAGATGGATTCTGTGACTTAGCTGGGGCTTGCATTGTCTTGAGGCCACAAAGCACTGAGGCTGGAGTAGAAGAGTACCACAGCAAGCTATAAGCCTTTGAACCAGCCCTTAGAGAAGCCTCTGGGTTTTCCCAGATGGATCACTGTGGCTAGGAACAGACATTACACATAAACCAGTTTAAACGATCAGGAACTGGTTTAAATCTGTAACAGAACAGATGTTCAGTGCACATAAACCAGTTTGAGAAAACCTTGATTGAGTGTAGTGTCAGACTTAACTGATTCGGGTCAAACCAGTTTATGCAATATCTATCCCAGGCCCTTTGCTGGTTTAAGATAAACCAGACACCCCCAGCATCCCAGCATGCTCTCTGGGCTGGGTGGGGCTCTCTGCTCCACAGCAGGGCTGGCCCCTCCCCTCTGCTCCCTGGCTGAAGCTCCAGCACAGACTGCAGGCTGCTCCCCATTTCCCCCTCACCACTCCCTTCTAAGCAGGAATTCTGCCCTCCCCTCTGCCTTGCCCCCTTACTGGTTTAAGATAAACCAGACACCCACAGCATCTCAGCATGCTCTCTAGGCTGGGCAGGGCTCTCTGCTCCACAGCAGGACTAGCCCCTCCCCTCTGCTCCCTGGCTGTAGCATAGACTGCAGGCTGCTCCTCCCCACCCACAACCACTCCCTCCTAAGCAGGAATTTTCCCCTCCCCTCTGCCTTGCTGAGGAGGAGTCTGTGTATTAGCTAGCAGACCACATGCTGGCTACAGTCCCTGCTGAATCAAAAGGTAGAATCAACAGGCAGAATCAACAAGTAGCTGGTAATGTCCCTCTGTTGTTTTCTTAATTGGGTGACAAACACTGTTATCAATTCCCTGCTGGGCTAATCTCAGCATCCTGCTGGAGCCTGGTCATGCCCCCTCCCCTCAGCTCCATGCTGTGGAAAGAAGAGAGGGCTGCTCTAGTGCCCCCTCACCTCTATCTTCTAGCCTGAGCCACTATAGGCATGTGCCTGCATTTCTGGGATGTCTGTCCAGTTACAAAACTGATTTAGCCTAGCCAGGTTAGACTAACCTGCAAAGATTAAATCAATTCAGGCTCAAGTTTTTTGAATGTCTGTCCCTAGCCTGTAAGACAGACGGCCAGATCCTTTGCTGAACTAAATCAGAGAAGTCAGTGTGATTGTGCTGAT